TTAAGGAAATTCTCTTGGATTATTTCTGTGAATAGCTTTTGTAGTCCATTTGTTTGTGTCCCTTACTTCTTCTTTTATGTTCTTAATTCTTAGGTTGTAGATCCTCTTATCATCTTCTAGTCTTTGTATTATTGCTGTTTGTTTTCTTGTCATTTTTAAGAAGTTTTTCATTTCATGCTCTCATATTACAAGTCTGCCCTCCAATTCAGATAATCTATCCTTAGTTTCTTTCAAGCTGTTATGCCAGCTTTCAATAGAGTTTTTAGTTTCCTGGTAATCTCTTTGAACCTGCTTCATGTATTCTATGTTTTCTCTATTTTCTCCATCAAACAATTCTCCCCTTTTTTTCTGTTCTTCCATTCCACCATCTGGTTTTTCTTGGGCGGTGCTTAGCACTTCTCTAACTATTCTACTTATCTCTTGTTTTATTTCATTAAATACTTCATTTTTAAACTCATTTATGAGGCTCTGGAGATATCGCTTTATGTCTATTGGTGCTGTGTCTGATATTCCATGTTTTCTGTCTTCCTTTGCATTTCCCTTTCCTGGATCAGTGTTCTCAGGATTGAGGATTGAGGACCCTTTCTTGTTCCTTCCTCTTCCCATACTTTTTGTTCCTTCCATACAAGCGAATGTAGGAGGCCCAATCTTTTTCTCTTTATTCGGTTATAGTTTGTTTGAATTACACTGGCTAGGTGCTCCCGCCCAGTGCAGTGTAATAGGGAGACACAGACCTGGGCAGCCTCTGCTGGGCCCGCCCCTCCAGGTCAACCTACTGAAGGCTTCACTGCTAGGGTGCACCTCCAGGTGCTGGGACCTGTGTTGGACTGGCCTACTGGGTCTTAGCGACATCACGCAGGCCAGGCACTCCCCACCAATCCCGCTTGAGAGGGGAATATGTGACTGAAGTCACTGCAGTGCCCCATTCCGGCAAGTCTGCCCAGTCTCAGTATGTCCTTTGCTGGAGCCTCCTACTATATGAGGAGAAAGTGTCCCCTTCCCCCTCACTCACTGCAAGTCGATGTAGGGCTCCCTGCTGGTCCTGCTCTCAACTCCGTTCGCAGATTCCTGCTCTCAGAGCTTTCGCGCGTCTCTCTACCTGCCCTGAAGATTTGGATGCAGCAGCGGCAGCAGGAAATTCAGATCGCGGCCTCCAGTGGTGCAGGTTCTAGCTTCCGCACTGTGATTTTATGTGTTCCTGTTATAGCACCAGGATTGGATTTCCAGTTGGTTTCTCTTAGCTTAGTTCATTCCTGGGTCAGCAGGGTGTATTTCCCCTTGCTTAGGACTCCTCGTACTGCAGCATTCCTGGATTCTAAGCATGATATCTCAAAGAGCCTCTGTAGCTGCTGCTATGTATCCGCCATGTTCTTCTGGAAGTCCGAAACTCAATATTTTGTCCTTGATATTTTATTACCTTAAAACTGCATAGCTCTGCACTAGGAATGTTAATCATTTAAGTAAAGTTGGAAAAATAAGGATTTATATACCTAAATTTACCTTGGTTATCACATCCTGCTTTAAAATTGAGAACACTAAGGTAAGAGTAATTAAAGTTATTTTAAGGGTCTATAGAGATATCCAATTGTCTTGAACTCATCATGGAGCCCAGGTTGGCCTAGAACCTGCAGTGACCTTCCTGTGATTTTCCAACCAAGTGCTGGGATTGCAGGCATGTGTGACCACACCAAGCTAAGATCAGTTTTGGACATGGGAATCTTTGTACAGCATCCCAATGCAAGTATCAGCAGACATGAGATATTTATTCAGTCTGTTAATCTTAGACTCACTGGTTCAAAACTTTAGCTAGTCTTTTACAAAAGAAATTCATTCATTTGACTCTATTAGGATTTTTTCCCTACACACTTAATCATTAATATGAATGTAAGACACTCTATGAGGTCAATTGAAATGCAGATTCTGAAGTAGGTGTGTAGTGTGATAAAGCTATAGTTTCTGCATTTTAACACATTTCTATGATATGCAAAGCTGCATTGTGTCTTGAGTTGGGGGCACCATTAAACAGTGGAAATGGCTTTAAGAATTAGATGGAAGACTTTTCTAGTATGGGTAAAATTTCTCAATCTTTAAAATATATGGAAAACGGTCAACTTGAAAAATTATTTTTCAAATAACTTTCTTCTACAACTATAGTTATACTTTAAAATAGATTTTGCTTTAAATGTTCAGTTTGAAATGTGATCTAGCTTTTAACTGATGAATTCCAAAGCAAAGTCTATCTTAATTTTAATAGTGATCCTGTAAACTACTCAATGTGTAATTTAATTTATTTACTAAGACAAGATCTTGTTGTGTATTCCAGGCTTGCCTTGAACTCACTATGTAGTCTTGGGTGATCTTGAACTTGTGATGATCCTCCTGCCTGGGCATTCAAATTACAGTACTGCAATTATAGGTGTGAGTCATAAGCTTGGCCACTACTTTAAAGGGTTTTGTTAAATTTAGCCTGATGCTGAAAGTTTCAGGTTAAGTTTAGCAGCTGTTAGAAATAATGCAGTAGACTTACAGGCTCCAGGAGTACTGGAGGTAAATTCAGGACATTTTGAAACACTCAAGCACTTAGAAAAAGTACCCATTGTAAAAGATCCATCTATTTCAAAACCAGGGATAAGAACAGCTATTTTTATATTGAAACCCAGAGATTTTCTCCACCTAACAAAAGACTTTAATCTGCAGTAGTAGCTTTTCTCAGATACTATTAATTTAACTGAATGAATTAATTTTATACTGAATAAAGAACTGAGGTACCATTTTAGTATTATCTGTAATGCATCTTCCTTACTGTGATGGTCTCATAAAGCTTTCTTCTTATTTTTTTCTTTCATTCTTCTATTCGAATCGTATTTATAGTATTTGTTACGGTTCTAGTAACTAAAAAAAGAGCTGTGAATTAGAAAAGATACTAGACTCATGAGACTTAAATTATAAGGGAAACCAGAACTAACAGAGAAATAAACAAATGTAATTTCATGTGACCAAAAGCACTATTAAAAAGAAAATAATGATAACAATAATTACGGAGTGATTAGTATGGGGGTATTTATATACTGCCCCATCTGGAAAGCTCTCCCTGGAATGTTATTATTTGAGTAAAATGAGTAATAAATTATGCTATTATGAAGGAAAAAAGGATAGTGAATATGTACCACATGAAATATGAATTTAATAAACTGAAGGTAGATCCAGACTACTAAGCATGTGGCATAAAGAAAGATCAGGTAGAATTCTGAAAACTAAAGCATGCAGTCTAGGTTATATCCTAAGTGCTATTACAAAGGTTAAGGCTTGAAGACCTGGTGGCTCATGCCTGTAAATCCTAGCACTTAATGAGCCTGAACTACATAGTGAGACCCTATCTCAACAAATCAACAACAAAAAAATTTTTAAAAATTACCTGATCTTATCCTCTTTTGCTAAATTTGCCTGCTTTCTTCAATTAACAAATTCATGGCTGTCTTTAGGGGGCCAGTTTAAATACTATACTCTTGTAACACCTTCTGCAGTGTTAGGGCAAGAATTTTAAGTGGTTCCAGTTATCTATCTTTCCTAGGGGCTGTTTCTCCTTTGGTTCAAATTTGAGCCAAAAATGAGTCTTAAACCACCAGATGATGTTCAAGCACTGGTCTGGACTAGACAGACATGGAATCTGATGACTGATCATAACAATCTCTATCCAGAGACCATCCTCAATTTGGGGGATCTTTTTTCCTGTCTTATACTTGTATTTAGTATGGGTCAGTTACCAAATTTTCTTTCTTAAATAGGATTTGTTATGTCCTTAAGAGTGAGTTTTAAAGTTGGTGAAAGTGAAATTTGTGTTGCAGTAGCACTAAATTTAGGAGACTAAATATCCTGGGCACTGTTGTATCACGCTGTTAAGTGACATGTATCAGCATTCATACGTTTCACATCCATGGATTCAACCAACCACTGACTGAAAATATATTGGTTTAAACTGTGTGTATACTGAACATAAACTTTTTCTTGTCATTATTTTCTAAACAGCACAACAACTATTAACTAGCATTTACATTGTTTTAGGTATTACAAGTAATCTAGAATTGACTTATACAGGTCAACTGTTGCAGGTTGTATTAAAATGATATTATATACACTTCATATAAAGTCCTTGAGCAATCTCAAATTTTGACCCTTACACTACTCAAGTGTGTAAATTAATTTATTAAGACAGGGTTGTTGGAACCCTCACTGGATACTTGAGGACAACTACACTACACATAAATTTATATGAAGATCTAATATTGTGAGTGACTCTTAACTTCCCAGTGAATAATTTATTTTAAAAAATGAGCATAATCCTTAAGACAAACATATGCATAATAAACTGAACCAATGAGTTTTAACTTATTAAGAGGGACCAATTCATCAAACTGTAGGTCTAATAAGAAATCAGAAAATTTTGAAGCCTTCCTCTTCCTCAGAACTTTTTGCTTGCCTTCTTTACAATCTAGATTGTTTCGCAGATTAAGCTAATACATTTTAATGTTACTCCATTATTTCTATGAAGCAGTGTCAACCACACTACCAACAAGCAACACCACCATTACTCTCCTTCACGGTGCTTCAGAGAAGGCAAACTGAACAGTTGTTGGTTTCTCACTTTTTTTGTTTTAGATGATTCTTAAATACACGTTCCGACCATAGTTCCATCAACTATATTTCACTTAACTTCATGTAGAGTACTAGAAGTAATTTTTTGAAGATTTTTTGACTCATGATTCTGATATATAGAACCTGGAACGCTTCAGATACCTCCCCCATCCTCTAATCCCGAATACGGGTGCGTCCAGTAGAACTTGCTCATACTCATCCATGGATGAGTCCTACTTTCAGGCTTCGCGATGCAAGCTTGTAAAGGCTGCAGAGAAGACGACGGACTTAGGGCCTCCCGCAGCCCGCTTCCCGAGGCGAGCGCCGTCGCGCCGTCGCGCCGCGTTGCGTCACACGCTTTCCCGGAAGTGCCGCTCAGCAGCGCCGGGGGTGTGTCTCAAGACCTCCGCGTGTAGTTACCTGTGAACGCGGGAGGTTTGGCTCCGAAACTGTAGGGCACGTTGCAGAAGCGTTTTGATCTTCTGTGGCAAGAGTAGTGAGCTTATCTGTAGGCCGAGAAACGTGAGGCGGTTTCGGACTCCGGCGCGGCGCGATGGAGGTGGTGGAGGCCGCCGCTGCTCAACTGGAAACCCTGAAATTCAGTGGCATCGGCCTTGCGGTTGGTGAATGTCCGACGGTAGCGTCTCCGGACTCGGCACGTGCGCCAGGGTCGCGGTCGAGTGACGGATGCCCAGAGAATGAGCTGGCCGTGGAGGCTCAGCCTGCCGGGGATCAGCTGCTGCAGCCCGCCCTGAGCGCCGAGGCTAATGGAAGCTCCACGCCTCAGCCAGAAGCAGCGCCCCAAGGTGACAGCGTCACAGGCCCAGATGCGGCGCCGCCGGCGCAGACCCCGCGCTGCCTGGAGACCTCAGACTCCGACTCGGATTCCGACTCCGACTCTGACAGGTCGTGTGTTTTCGGGCCCTGGATAGGAGCCCAGAGGGTTGCGGGTGTGGGTCCTGGAGGGCGGGGAGACCGCTGATCTCTGGCGCACGTGTGGACGCGTTGCTCAGAAACTCCAGTCCTCACCGCCTTTCACTGGGAAGTACGTTGTGAATGTGAATTTGGGACTCTCACTGCTTTTGGGAATCTCACTGCTTTCCTAAGTTTGCTAGCCTAGAAGGTTAATGTAGTTTTTGGTTAAAATACAGAAAGACTAAAGCTACGAGTTCATTTCTGTGAGTAGTGTTTGGCATATCTCTGTGGTTATAACTTTAAATGTTCTATGTCGTCGGAATTACTTTTTGCCCGTCAAATCTAGCATACTTTCTTGGTTTTTTGGGACTAAATAAAGGATCGCGAAAGGGATTATTTTTTATAACTCTCCCTGGCCTTGCATTCTTGTGGGATAATACTCCAGTACATAGTATGTTATGAAACAACTCTAAACATTGTCTAAGAATTCTCAAGTGTGTTGGTAGGGAGAGTTACCGACTAGGTGAGTAACATAGACACACAGTAGATAGGGCTAAGGCCTTTTGAGGGAAACCAACAACCAGAAGTGGGAATAGAGAAGGATAAAGGATGAGTACAGGAGGAGACTGAGTAGACTGGGCAGAGTAAGTAAGCAAATTATGAACAAGGGTTGATTTCTTGGCAGTTCTAAAAACATCTTGTTGGATTTCTGTGTTCGTGTTACTGGGAAAGTGAAGTAAGTGGTAGGTGATCCTCAGACAAAAAAGTTTTGCAGGCAGAGATTGGGATGTGGTGTGATATTAGAACAATTTAGTGTTAGGACTCTGAATGATAGGAGAAGATGCCAAGTATTTAAGAAAGTCAAGAGCGATGTGTGCAACTTTTAGCCTATTTTAGCTAGGCAATGTTTTGATGCATGTACAGGGTCTCTAGTTTTAGATTCTTGGTAATTCAACATGGTTTTCAAGAAATTACGGTATGATAATCAGACTGTAGTAGTAGTTTGAAAAGAGTGCTATGGAAGAAAGAGAAAGGATCCGTTTTAGAGAAAGTGCTGTTTGTTTTGAGCATATAAAGGACAGAATTTTTCTGAGCAAAGAAGATAGCTCAGACAGTGGCATGTGGTAGTGAAAACACAAGAGGAACTGGGAAGTCATATTGGTATAGGGGAATGAAACTCCTGACCTATATGTCCAGAACGAGTTTGTGTTCTCTAAAATCGAAGAATGAACTTTAGGAACAACGGAGGTTAAGAGCAGAAATGTTTATTGAGGGAAAGAAAGCGTCTGTGTGTGAGAGACAGAAGGGGTCTGGAGTGGGTTGCCAAAGACTCCATATTTTCTTTGGATTTTTATGGAGTAAAATTATGGGATGAGGTGGGTCTGGGAACCAGCAAGGCAGATGGGCATGAGGTGGCACAGACTATGGTCAACCAATAAGTTTAATTGTTCAGGTAAAATTGATCAAATCAAGGACAAATGGGGAAGCCAGTGAGGTAACAAGGGAGCATTCTTATGGGTCAGTGACTTCCTATGGGGGTTGGGATGGTGGCTCTTGGCTTCTCAAGGTGATCCAGATTTAATCCCTAAGGATTATATTTAAGGGTGTGTTTGCATTTGTTTTGTCTTCTATCCTGAGATTGGCCCACAGCCAAAGGTGTGTGTCTCCTCCAAGGTCACCAGACATCTGGTGGTCTGTGCCAGCTTCTTGGAGGGCCTAGCCCTGTCTGACTGCCTGTATTTCTAACTAGCTCAGCTGCCTATAACAATACGAGCTTGTGCGTTAAGCAGAGCCTGTGTGAGAAGTGGTAAATTAATTTGTGGAGGTTACCAGGAACCTGACAGCAAGTGCTCTAAGATGTATATTACAGAAAAAAATTTAAAAATTAAGCTTTCCTGTATGCTTATAGTGGAAAGAATAGTACAAATGATACAACTGCAATCTTGATTTAATAGTTTTTAATGTTTTAAACTATTCATACTGAATTATTTTAGTCATTTACAGACATTATGGTGCCTTATCTTTAAATACTCCAGCATGCATTCTTGCAGACATTCTCTTAGTACTACTAACTATGGCATATATGAAATTAATAATTCCCTCTTAAATATCCAGGCATACTCTGTTCTTTCAAAGCAGGAGCATAAATTGATTAGGATGGAAGGCCATGAGAAGGTTAACAAAACAGCAGTGGGATGATGGAGTGATTACCCTGGGGAAAAACTATTTATAGTATTGGCAATACAGTTATTTGTTATTCAAAGCAGACAACTAGTGAAAGCCTGAAATAGCAGTGGAAAGGAGACAAAGAATGGTACTGATTACCAATTTGAAGAAAAGATTTGTTATTGACCTGTGTATGCAGTTGTCTTAATGTTATTCCAGAGTTCTCCAGTGAATGGATTGAGAACTAAGTTGTGAAATAAAATAGAAGTTCAAGGAGGATTGAAGCAGTTCAGTGAGGAGAATGAACCTTTTTTCTGTTTTGTCTTTAGCTTGCTGGAAGTGTGAGGTTGGTGTTTGTCACTCATGCAGATTAGTTATGCAGCCAAAGATTAGGGGTGGAGATTAGCTGTGTCAAGGTTGGAGTAATGAGGAATTAATCTGCACATGGATGATGACAGTGCATTGGAGTGGAAAAGGTTATCCATATAAAGAATAGAGAGAAAATCAGTATGGGTAGTACACATAAATATAGCACATAGCAGATGTGGGGGCTCATGCCTTTTATTCCAGCTACAGGGGCTGCAGTAGGAGGGTTACAACTTTAAAAGCAGCTGGGGCAACTTTGGCTCTTTGTTTTTTAAGAAGGACTGAGGATGTAGCTTAGTGGCAGAGCACTTGTCTAACAAGCATAAGACCCTGGATACCATCCACAGTACTGCCAAAAACAAGCCAAAAAGAAACCATTAAATGGGCTGAAGTGGAGGAGCACATTACAATTTCTGTGGAAAGTCAAGGCCCGAGAGAGAGAGAGAGAGAGAGAGAGAGAGAGAGAGAGAGAGAGAAAGAGAGAGAGAGACATGTAATTGGTCATGCAGGCATTTCCAAATTGCCTGAAAACAGGGAAAAAACTGTTGACAATTAAGTGTCATCTAGGGTTTTCCTCAGTCATTGTTACTTGCTTATTAGACATGGTAGACTATGCAGTAAATGTAAGAATTTTGAATGTTATTGGTGAACAGAAGATTGCTTACCCAATGTTACAGTGATCTTTGAAATGCTTCCTTTTTAATCAGACCAGCAACAGTAAACAAGGTAAAGTACATAGGTCCTAATTGAATGATAATAATACCAGTGTAATATTTAACCAAGTTTTCACTATTTTCTTCCCTACAGTGAAACAGATTCAGATAGTTCAAGCTCCTCCTCTTCTTCATCATCTTCTTCCTCCTCCTCATCTTCCTCTTGTGTTTCACTGCCTGCTGTGCTATCAGATGGAGAAGATGATTTACAAATTGAGAAGGAAAACAAGAATTTTCCTCTTAAAACAAAAGATGAGTTACTTCTTAATGTAAGTACTTACATTACATTTATTATGCATGCAGTGTTGTACTGGTATTAATTATATTTGGTTTACATCAGATTTGAAGTTTATTCTTGGTTTATTGAGCATGCTTTTGTCATGACTTGATTTTCTTATATTAAAAAGAAAACAGTGACTTGAATGATTTCTGAGGTTACTTCTAACCCTGGCATTGGATTCTTGTTCTTAGTGGGACATCAACTTCGCTTGGATGTGTTCTGATTTTTATTTCCCTTGTAAAATATTCCCAGGCTGAGTTTCAGTGTCAGTAGTAAAGTATTTGTGTAGACTGTGCAAAGCTCCTCAGTTCAGTCTCCAGCACTGCAACAAGAAAGGAGAGAGGAAAGATACTTCATACGTAGATTTGTGGTCTTTTGTCTTTGTATCTTTGTCCACAAGTCTGCAAAGTTTCCTCAGTAGCAACTGAAATCTTTCTAATTGATTGCTTTTACAGAGGTAGAAGATGAAATTCAATGGATTAAACATTTAGAATTTCTATTCACTTGAAATTTTAGAGGTTTTTAAATTATAGTTGGGAAGATGTGTTTATTGTGCAGTGGCATGTGTTGGCATTTGATAGGTTTAGATGACTGAATTAACTCTTACAAGATGTCATTTCCACTTAAACTGTAAAGTGCTAGGTAGAGACTGATGATCTGGCTGAAAGCTGTGGCCCAAGGAGAAAGTCTTTGCAGAATTTCAGAATATAGGCTAAACTGTCTCATACCTCCTTCAATTATTACTAATACTTTTTAGAATATCAGTGATAACTAGTCATAATTATTATGTAACACTTAAACCAATAGGAAAATTTTAGAAAGCTGCAAGATTTGGAGAAAAAAATTGAAAGCCTAGTAGCAATTGGGTGCCTTTTTTTCATGAATGTTTTGGGATTCTGTCAATTATTTCTCTCTTTGTCTACTCATAATAAGAAATTTCCTGTCTCATATATGCTTTATGTGTTGAAAACTTGTATTTATGTGCATTGGTTCGTGTGTTCATGCCATACATGTTGGTATCTCTTAATTGTCTTTAAATGCAAAAGCTTCTGATTTGTAACTGTTTTCTGAAAGTATTGGAAGACGTTTTGATTTCATTTACCTGAATCTTTATAGTCTTTCAAAAGTTCACTTTTAGGGTATAAAAACGTAAGAGGGGTAAAAGATCACAAATAATCCCATCATGCAGAAGGTTAAAGGAGGAGGATTTTGGAACACTTAGGAAAAAAGAGAGAGAAAAGCACAATATTTTTAAAAATGTATACTGTTTTATGTCACAAAGTCTGGAATTTTTATATTAGGTGTCCCTTGAAATATGCAAAATCTTCCATATTTATTTAGAGTTTTTTCTGAGGTAGTGTACCCATATTTTCAGTCTATAATTGGCATGGCACAGGGGCATCACAGAGTAAAACAGTCCAAGACAGGCAGAAAGTAGCAAAGTAAGCAAGCAATCAGTGGCAAAGAGAAGATCACAGCTTTGTTTGTCTCATGTATCTTACCCTGAGGTTAGGTACCCCTGACATCCTTACCTTAGCATTGAACTGTGAATCAATCCCAGTATCGTGTTCTTGATCTTAGCAGCACAAGCTCTAGATCGAGCCATCTCAGAAAAGCCCCACCTAAGACTACAGGAGGCTTTGGAGGAACATCTAGATACAAGCCATAACCCTTAGTCTACCCTAAATTTCTGGCTTAGGTTTCCAAAAGAATATATTACGACTCCTTCATAATTTGAGTTGGGAAACTCAGTAAAGAGAATGGCTTGGTCCTGAGTACTAAGGGTGATGTGACTGACTGCAAGTACTTTGTCTTTAGGACTGTGTGCTTCCTTTCTGTGTTGCTCTAGCACTGGCAGTTTGACCTCTAATACTATTATATGGAAGCCAAGAGGAAGACTTGATGGCTTGCCTGGGACCTAGTGCAGTGTCGAAGAAACCATTGAAGCCAGTGGAGGAAATACTTACATTGCTTACCATTGTTGTTTGTGTCTAGATGTTCCCCCAAACCTGATTACAGCCATGGGTGGGGCTTTGGAGAGATGATTAGATCATGGGGGTATGGTACTTATCAGTGGATTAGTCCTGTAATGAGTTTATAGCTAAGTGTGCTATGTGAGGTGGACCCTAGCTAGAGGAGGTGGATCACTGAGTATGACCTGGAAGGGTCTGTCTGCCTCCCTGTCCCGTGGTTTCTGCTTCCTGCCACCATGCCTTGTACAGTGCCCTGAAACCTCTTAAAACTGTGAGCCAAAATAAACCTTTCCACCTTTAAGATGTGAATGTTGGGTATTGTGTCTTGGTAACAAGAAAGTAATAAAGATACTTGTGCATGGGTTCTGTAGACATCCGTCCTGTTCGCGTGGGTGATTGTGGGAGTGTGAAAGTGTGTGTAAGAAAGTGCAAGCTTGAAAGAGCACATGGGCTAGTGTGATAGGGTGGATTTACCGGAGAACCAGCTGACAGAAAGAAGGTGTGAATGTGTATTTTGAGAAGGGTGGGGACTGATTGTGTTAACAGCTTCATATAAACCTGGACACACTGTCACAGGAAAAAGAGGCTTATGTTTATTCATTTTAGAAGATGCCAAGTAATCAGAGTATACCTTATATAGAGGGAGATACTGGAAAGTGATTCTAGTGATCAGCTTAATTCGACTCATGGTTGTGGACAGGAGAGATTCAGATCACCTCAGAAGAAGGAAAGACTTGCTGTAAACGCAATTGGACTAGAAAGCAGTGGGAACCAAGGTGGGGATTAGACTAGCCTTGCTGTGTCTTTCTATGCCTCTGACATGTTGTCATAGCTCAGTTAATGTCTTTGGTTCTTTCTTTACTAACTGACTCCTGCGTACCCGCAGAGTGTTCTTTAAATGCCAATTTTCTCTGACCTTGGCTCAAAATATGACGTATTTTACTCTCACTTTTCCTGTAAATTAGCCATTTTATATATATATATATATATATATATATATATATATATATGAGGTTTTTTTTTTTTTTTTCTTTCTTTCAGGAAGTCTTTTTATTTAAATGTGACTTTTTAGAAAAATGGCAGCTCATTTTTCCTGGGAAATATCTCTACTCCTAGCAGATGTTCCATTCTTTACCACTTGCTCTAGCTGAGGTGGTGTGTGCTGTTTCCTTCAGGACTCCCGATGCATCACTTAGACTCTTAGACAGTAGAAGTTGTGTGTCTTGGCTCACAAGGGGTGCTCTTTCTCTGTGCTGCCTGTTTATCGGACATCAATATTGCCTCTCTGGGTCTACTTTAAATCTTTTCCATTGTTTGAAAGTTAGATCTAGTCATCCAACTACAGGTTGAGCATCCCTTAGGTTGAGAATCTAAAACTTTTGGAGCAGTGACGCAATACCACAAATGATAAATTCTATGCTAAGAAACTTTGTGCAATAGTTATTAACTATATTATGTGAACTTACCTTTAGGCTGTGTTATCTGAAACAGATGTCATATTTAGACTTGGGATCTATCACCAAGATATCTCAGGTATATCAAACATTATTTGTGTGCAAAAATTCTGAAACACTTCTGATACCAAGCATTTTGGAAAAGCAGTACTCAACCTGTGTTAACTGTGCAGGTTTTAGTTTAATGTAGGCTTATAACCAAATCTTTTTATCCCAAGATTTGGTTATAACTTGATCTAACAAAATGAGGAGGAGGAGGTGGTGAGGGGAAAAGAAAAACAAGTGGGATTAGTGAGCTGTCAGAGGCATTAGAGAAAAGAGCTTTAAGTGGCCTTCCTTGTAATGTTATGGTTATGTAACATGATAAATTTAAGCAAGAGGAATTTTCATTTAGATGTAAACCCTTCTTTAAAGCTGAAGTTTTAGGTTTATGTGTAATTTAAATAGTACCTATAAAGCAACATGCATATTACAGATTTAGATCTCCATTAAACGATAGAGGATTTGTTTCAGTGTTTCAGTGAATTGGAAAGTTAGGCTCTTTTTGAAAAATTTCATCAGCATTCTATGCCATGATCTCTTTGTATAAATATATCAAATGTAATTGAAAACTTAGAATCATAGAAACATTTGGTATTGTGATATTCTGAATTCTTAACCAGAAATGAGTTTTATAAATCACCGTCTATTGTTGTCTTTTCTAAAATATTTAATTTTACTTAATTTTAAATTATGACCTCAGTACTTACTAGGAATAAAAAATGGATAATATTTCAAAGGGCTAATAATGTATGTTTATGTATATAATGTAACATTACTGAGAAAACCTTTGGTGCTGATTAGCAGTTCATAAGAAATTTCACTTACAGTTTGGGGACTGCTTGTGCTATGTTTAAAAGAAGTAAACTGTTTAGTTTGTATGTACTGTATTTTCTTTCTTACACCGGCAGTGCAGACACACATCTTAAGACATCATTAGCATGACTGTAGAAATATCTGGGCTATGTCAAGAGATTAGAAATTGCAGTGACACATTTCATAGGTATGTAATGTCTAGCACCTATCAAATTGTGTTGTACTTTGGTCTCTACTACTACTGACTGAATGTGTTGCTTTCACCCCATAATGTGTTTATGTTTTGTCCTAAGTGAGGCCTCTTTGTTGGTGAGTCTAGATAGGTTTGTAATTACTAAATGCTATCCTAGACTAGTAGTAGCAGTTATTAACATTCTTAAAATGCCCCATAGCTAAGCAGCAACTTAATATGCTTGCAAAGATGATAGTTGTTTCATTGTTAGCGGTCTTTAATACTTACATCTTTTAAAAGCTAAAATTTTGGGGCTGGAGATTTAGCTCAGTGGCGCCTCCTGGCAAGCGCAAGTTTGATCCCTAGTTCCACCAAAAAAAAAAAAAAAAAAAAAAAAAAAAAAGCTAAAATTTTATATTTTAGTGTTAAAAATTATTTCCATAAAGCTTATATGACGCATGAATGATTCTTTAAACTTTAAATAGGTACTATTTCTTTGTTAGAGCAGCCGTATATGTCTTCTGTGTACATGTGA